AAAAAAAAAAAAAAAAAAATTACTAGTTAATGAGGAAAGTTTTTCAAATATTAATTTTTTTACCATCCATGGTGAGATTTTTATTTTTATTTTAGGTAATGTGATGTGAATAATTGATCTAAATCTAATAATTAAACTTCTTAAAAAATTTCAATCAATTATTTATTTATAACTAATCTGTTTTATTTTTATCTTTAGTGATATGTATCAATAACTCGAGATTAGTAATTATTTCTATTGAACAATTATTTCTATAGTACTAATAAGTTTATTAGTTAATATTTCATATATAAAGTAAAATTAAACTTATCATTTATACTAATTTAAAAATAAAAAAAACAGTCTAAAGTTATTCATACAATAAAATATAAATGTCTGTATAATGAAATATATTTAGTATAAAATAATCTAAACTAGTAATTGATAAACCATGAATCTAAAATAGTCTAAAGTTATTCACACAAATATTTCGAGGGATGAACTATATACGACATTAAAATGATAAACCACGAATCATTTGTCAAATTGTCAATTAATTATTAGATTATAAAAATTCAAAATATTTATAATATATATTGTTAATTATGATAACCCACTGACCTGAATTCAAAATACTTATAATATATATTGTTAATTATGTTAACCCATTGACCTCGAACTGCCATGTAAATTATAAGTTGAGAAAGAAAAATCAAATATTTAATATATACTATTACAAATTATGATGACAAACCAATGGATCATGTAATGCCCCAATTAGTTAATAAAACGAATTCATTTCACTTGCTCGACTTTAAAGTGAAACCGGTATTTTTCGAACCTTTCCAAGTTGTTTGACTAAGTGTTATTATGTGACTTAGGTGATTGTATGTACTTGTTTGCCTTAATATTTTCATGTATGTTTTTTCTTTTATTAAGTTTGACATTTTCGTTCGCGCAGAATCGCCGAGAACTTGTGGCAAACGCGTCGAACCCGAGCCTAGTGTCAAGCCATGGCTCATTGTGTCCCTTTTTCCTTTCAAGTTCAAGATCATGCATGTATATTAGAGGGTGATTATATATTTTTATGTTAAGTTTCAGCCTAAGCCATGCATAAGAATGATTAGCTCAAGTCATCCATCATTAGCAATATTTTATGCTAAGCTAGCATGTGCATTGAGTTTAATATTAAAAGGTGTAAAAGACCATGTTACTTCTCCACCTTAAGTACTTGACCAGACCTCCTTATTCACCCAAGATGCTCTGAAAAATCATGCATTCCCACCCAATATTCCATCCAAAATCGTGCCAAGACCATGCCCCAAAGACCAATGCACATAGGAAAGAGTAGTCACCACATTTGTCTACCATTTTCCCTCCTAAGTATTAACGCCCTTAGAACAGCTTTTAAGACTTCACTTCAGCTTCTTAGAGACCTCATTTAGCACTTAGAAACTCAAAAAATTCGAGCATAATCACCTTTAAAAGTGGCAAAAACCGAGAGAGCTAAAACAAGATGCCGAGAGTGAACCTTGTGCTACCCGAGTGCTTTGTTGTTGAGTGTTCTTGAGTTCTAGCTAGTATTTTCGAGAACCCCATCTATATATTTATCCTCCACCATCCTACTCTCATATTAGAAGCATTTAGTGCCAGCAAACTCAAGAATTCAAGTCCAAGGAAGCAAGAAGCCGCAACTATACGAGGACCGAGCAAGAGCGAGTATACCCGAGTTTCTTTGCATTTTTCTTGAAGTTTTAGAGGTTGGTGTGCTCAAATCTTTTTAGAATTATAATATAGATGAGATAAGAAGTAGAATGATATATATATGTGCCATACATGTTCAGTTTTTAAGTAGTTATAAGCATGCAAGAAGTTAAAGTTGTCCCAGCTCGCATGAGTGTTTCTTATGTGTTGTTTGCTTGCATTTTTGGCTATGCTATGAAAAAAACCTGGGAAACTATTCATTATATGGCTGTTTTTTGTGTAAAGGAGGTGTTCATAGGATCAAGAATCAAGTCGTTTAGATTAGTATAACTCGAGTTATTGATTTTTGAAGATAAGTATGCAAGTTGATTTTATATGGCAGATTTCAGCTACGACTTCAAACGCGAATAACTCGAGTTCTACTCAGGATAAAATTATAAAATTTTATGGACATATTATATTTGAGTTAAGAGCTTGCATATCAAATTTTATAATTTTATCTTAAGAATTAAGTGAGTTATGAATTTTACAAATAGATGGTGCAAGCAGTTTTTCTGTGAACCGGCAGCATGTTATATTAAATGTATGACCTTTTTATCATATCTTAATGTGCTCAAATGCGAAGATGATCTTCATGAAAGTTATAGGTCTATTTCTTAGCTTTCTAATAAAGTAGGGTGCATGCTGATATGAGGTCTATAGTGTGAATTAGAGTCTAAGTACTGAGGTGCTGTTGTAACATAAATTTGTTTCTGACAGATTTCATGAACCAAATATTTCATGTTTAAACTCATTGAGAGCATTGTTATTTGCCAATGTGATCTTAAGAAAAGTTGTAAATATTTGAGTTAGCGTCTATGTGGTTTTTGAATCTCACTAAAAGCATGTTTGTAGCTTCATTTATCCTACAATTACTGAAGTCCTGTCAGTTGTATAATTTCAATTGTGGACTGCAACTCGGTTATGAATATTTGTTGAATTATCTCCTGCTAAATGACCTTATTTGTTTTCGATGTCTTCATAAGAATTGTAGATGCATGTATTAGAGTTAAAATGCAACTAGAATCATGATTATATGACAAGTGTGTTGCAAGTTATGTTGACTTTAAATTCGCTGCGAGGGTTAGGTTTTGAAAACTCTTGTTTTATTTTCGGAAATAGAGTTACTTTTTAAAACGCGTACTATTATAGCCTATATGAGCTGAGTTAGATCAAGTGAATGTTTCTTATATGTTTATATAGCTTAAGGAGAGTCGAACCTCCGACAGCTACTTCAGTTTCAAGCACTTGCAACAGATATTTTCAGTATACCAGGTGGGGGTCATGTACTGGATTCTACATCATTTATAACATCTATACCATGACTGAGGTATGTTCGAGACAGTTAGTTCTCCCAGGTGAGAGGCCGACCTAAGGGCCTTCCTATTCCACCTGGTATCCGGCTGGGGTTTCGGCCTCAGTGTCTGGATGGTGTGCACAGGAGCGGCCGAGGGCCAAGGGTCGACGGACCAAAGTTCAGAAAAATTTAGAAAAGCAAAGAAAGATTTCAGTTTCAGCTCTTATATATTGATGCCATGATATCGTTTATATATGTTGTTTTATTCAGTACTGGTCTTTGCGGAGCATAGTGATTTGCTCACGCCCCCATTGTGTTTTTCAGGAGACGGAGTCGAGCGTGCCGGATGAGCATAGGCGTGGCAAAGCGTGGTCATGAGAATCTTCGACATTTTTACGCATATTTTATGTCCCAGTATTTATGATCATGTATTATTCGGATATGTATGCATGTATTTCTGTATTTCGGATGCTTCCGCTAGCAGACTAGACAGTGCGAGACAGTTCAGACATTGCATGTTTAATTCCATTATCCGTAGCGGATAGTTTGGTTGCGTGTTTTATGTATGTCTGTGAGCAAGTTAAGTAAGTTTTTATCTGTGACATCCCGCAACCAGTTAGTATTTTCGAAAACCAAGCTCGCACGACCTTTCGAAAATAAAAGCGAAAATTTTACTCTGATTTTCAAAGCTAGTAAGGCGGGGTGTGACAGATCATCAGTCGCAGAAAGAAAAAATTAAATATTTGTCATGTATGTTATCATAAATTATAATGATAAACAAACAAATCATCTACCAATCAAACAATAATGTAAATTGTTAGCTTAGAAGAAAAAAAAAACAAAACAAAAATATCTATAATGTATATTTTTATAAGTTATAATGATAAATCAACTGGTATAGAAATTTCATATGAATGATTGTTATAAATTATAAAAAAAAAATATGAATTATTAGACTTGAAAGAAATTCAAATTTTTTATACATTATTATAAATTATAAAAAAAAATGATGTTATAAAAAATTAGAAAATTTTTGTAACTTCAAAATAATATAGACTACATTCAGATAAAATTAGTGTGGATCTTATAATATTTGCCACTATTCTTCAACTTACCATCTCCATAAAGAATACTAAAGGAATAGAAATAATATATTATAACAAAGTATGAGTAAGGGAAGAGAGAAAAGTATTTGTGTGACTACTATTTTATATATAATTTTGAATATATTAAATTTTTACGTTCCTTAGTTCTGAATGAAAATATCTAAAATGACAACTATTTCATAACCGGTTAAACAAACATATAAATTATGTAGCAAAATATTATATTTCGTGCAAATAAAAGAAAAAATAAATATTAACATTAACATTCAAAACTATCTTTTATACTAATTAAAATTCTTTTACTATTTTATTTATATAATTTATCATTATTACTTCATGTATCATACGGGCTATGCACTAGTTTAACAATAACTAAAAAACAAGTACAAATTTTGAAAACAATATAAATACTGAAAAAACTAAAATCCAAACCTACAACCAATCAACTATACCTGTCCAACGTATCCAATCCTTTCTCTTAACCATTGGATGTTCAGTTCTCTCATTGGGTAGCCGTCAATCAGTATCTGAAGTTAAAATGAAAACCCTACAGTGAGGCATAGAAACTATAAAAAATCTGGAGAATCTATAGTTGGAAAGAACGTAACAGTGAGACAATGAAACTTCCAAAGATCATAAATATCGATAAGACATTTGAACATGACATATCCTAAGACTTCATCAGAATTCATGGGTTTGAAGTTAATGATTTCAAGTCTGCGATAACCAAATTCATTGACGTAGCTTGGATAAAGTCATCAGACAATGGGTTTCAAATCTTTGTTTGCTATTTTTTGAGCCTTTGGCAGATTTCAAATCCATCTCAAATAATCATTTTAAATCAATCTTTCAAATCCTTTCACCAAATTTAAACACAAAATATTCTCTTTACATGCCATAACCATAACCAAAATCAAAGAAATACAAGATGGATGTTGGACATATTACGAGCAGGAATCAACTTTGAACTGAATTTAAGCTTCCTGGAATTACATTTGGAATTTGGATTGGAGTAGCATTTGGTGAGAGTTTGGAGGAATGACTCCAAATGAGATGAATTTGAAGCTCTCTATATTGATTCAAAAATAGTTTTAATGCATTTGAAGTCCACTGTTGAATAACCTCGTCCAAAATATATCATTTGATTTGTTATAAGGATTTGAAATGCTTAACTTCTTTATCTATCTCTACAACTGATTCTATAAGATGAATAATATGCCACCAAATCTTCTAATGTTTTCCCATATTCTCCCTTCCCCATCCATACAAGAGATAGAATATATGGTTTACCTCGCCGTTTGTTGGCTCATAAAGACGGAGCAAAAGGTTCACTAAGGTGCTTTTCCCACTACCACTAAGACCCACCTGGAAAAAATTGGTAACTATAGGCTATTAATGTCTCAATGTTTTGTACATAAGAAAGCATCATAAAAAGATATTCATCCAGAAAAACCATACATACAAAAGTTAAGGTTGTTGGATGACAGTATTGGACTAAAAATAAAGATAAAACTAAGCATGATCATGGTGGGATGACAGTATTGGACTAAAAATAAAGATAAAACTAAGCATGATCATGGTGAATGTAAGAGCTAATTGAAGAAATAATTTTATTAAGGGATAATAAAATCTGCAGTGACAGCCATGTTAACCCCCCACCTTCTCATTTCCTACGAACTGCCAAGCCAAAAGGCATAAAAAAAATTGATTTTTTTCTACTTAGTCTATATATCTGATGCCTAATTTTTATGGCTATTAATCTGTCACAATCATAATATGTGAGATAAGGATATGTAGAAACCCTACGACATGGAACTCAGGATCTCTAATTTAATTTTCTTTTTTTCAACGGTGTTAGTCAGATCTTCAAGATCATTTCTTCCCCTAGCACACTCAGAGAGAGAGAGAGAGAGCACTCACAATTGCGACTACTTCTCCAGGATGCACAGCTATATTGAAATGCTGGAGAACAGGCACCTGTTCACTCAACAAAAATAGAGAAGTGGGAATACATTCAAGAAGATGTGTAAAGTTAGCTGATACGAATAATCATTCTATATCAAAATTTAAAATAAATTTCCTGTTTAACCATGTCGCTTTGTTCACAGCAAAACTGATCTGTTTAACCAATAGGCTCGCCGCCCCAGGATCGACCTTCCGGTCATTTTTGTTGCCAGAATCTGCGCGTGCCGGTCCCATGCGCTGCCAGACAGACTTCACCCATCCTCACGCGGCACATGTGACCGCGTGGCTTGCCGGATCTTTATCCGGCGAACGGCCGCCGGCTCATAATCTTCTGGGCAGTGTTGTTAGTTTTGTGTCTTGGGCAGTTTTGGTGTTTGTTTGGCATTTTCCAGATCCGGTATCACTTTGGGTTAGGGTTTCTCGCCCTCGTCTATTGTTCTTTTATTGTTCACCCATTGTGTGGTCTTACGCTGCGTCTACCAGCATCTTTTGGGCATGCTCATCGCTGCTCTCTTGAAATGTTTCGTCTGCCTATCACATAGGCATAGTTGTCGTATATCACTGAATCATATCACAACTCAATGCGATCGCTATCAAATGGTCAAAATGATCAGGAGAGTCGGCTTTTTATGTGGAAACTGAGGAGGGGTTATGGTTTAGCTTTCAAGATTAGGGACACGAATGAAAGGCCGATAATAGTAATGCCGCTGACATTGAAATTAATTACGAGAAAGGATAGATTCCATCATCAACAATGTCACACAATCCATAATTATGAGGCGTTCTTCTCTTTGGAAAGCCAAGGGGATGTGGTCCAATTTGCGACAACGATACGTTCATGATAGTGGTGCACTCTTGCACACACTTATGAAACAAATTCACGTGATGGGACAATTGATCTCAATGGTAACTCACGACAGAGGAGTGTTTAGCACATAAGTTTGTTAAGAAATTCTTTATTAATCACTTTGTCATTAGAGTTTGAGCAGTGACTCTTCTACTCTAACCATGGCACGTGCATTATTAGATTTAATTACTGAATGTCTCCATTCTATGTCAGTTGCTTCTCCGTCAGTATGGCATAATGTCCTGGCAGCTCCTCAAAGGACAACTTCTCAACGGCTTAGTGCACCTAGAGGTGGCGCTTAAGAACCTTGTAAGTATTGCGGAAGACAATCATAGGGTTTAGAATTGTTCTACATAGAAAAGTTGGTTGAGTATCATTCACGCCGTGCTGCTCTGGCACATATTAAGACCTATGCTACAAAGGGGTCAGTATCTGCGGCCGCGACCTCTCTTGTCCATGGACCTATGCTACAAAGGGGTCAGTATCTGCGGCCGCGACCTCTCTTGTCCATGCTCCTCAGTATTGAGTCCTCGATTCAGGGGCATCTTTTCATGACTTTTGATCAATCCCACTTGGTTGCTTGCAAGGCGGACACTAATGGTACTTCTATTTGATTACACATTTTGTCATCACTCATGACTGCTCTCTATGCAACTCACGTTTTTCAGTGCCTCATATCTCTTATCTTTCTAAGTTATCCAATAATCTTTAATCAGGTCGGTTCTGATTTGATTTGTTAATTTGATGACTCATCTTGCTTTATTCACAATCATCAAAGCGGAACTGTGGTTGGGAATGGCCATCGCCGTAGAGGTACTCCAAGTCACCAACTTTTAGAAACTTTGTGACTTCCCTCTTTCGCAAGTTCTACCACTCGTGTATTCTCCATTGCTTCATCTTCCACCTCATCCTTTGACAAGTGATATCATCATCTTGCTCATCTGTATGGGTTTCGTTTTTCTATTTTGATTGTTTATGTCGTATATCTATCGAGTCTAGCTTTCATTGTAAGGGTTGCAAGCTCGTAAAACAAATGCAACTCCCATATTTTACTAGCATTTCTCATTCTTCTATACCTTTTGTTCTTCTGATGTAAGGGGTTCTTCCTTTTCGGTGGCAATGAATATTATGTTATTTTTATTGATGATAATTCTAAATATACTTGGATTTATTTTATGAAACATCGTTTCCAGTTGTGTTCTATTTACAAAATTTTTGCTTACATGGTTCATATTCAATTTTCTACTCCTATTCAATGATCTGATTCTGAATCTGGTGGTGTGGTGAGTACTTATCTAACAAGTTTGGTCAATTTCTTACTTTTGAGGGCACTCTTGCCCTGAGCTCATAATGGTGTTGCAGAAAGAGAACACCATCATCTCATTGAGAGTGCTCACTCATTTGTTCCTTCTCATTTTTAGGGAGAGATTGTGTCTATAGCCATTTATCTTATCAACCAACAACCGTCATCCAAGCTGTCTGGCAAGTGTCCTAGTGAGGTACTTTTCGACACTCTCCCTGGCTATAATTATTTTCGAGTTTTCGAATGTATGTGTTATGTTTTTCTTGCACCTCGTGAGCATACTAAATTGACTATTTAGTCAGTTAAGTGTGTCTCATTGGGATATTGTTTTGAGCAAGGTTATCGTATTACGATTCTTCCACTCTTTGCACCGTATATCTCGTGATGTAACCTTTGCCGATGACCGTCCTTTTATAACCCTTCTACACACCAACATCTTCTTCTTCTACATTCTTATGTCTTCCCCTTATTTCCTCTATTGATGATGTCCCGTTTCTTCTTCTTCTTCTTCTTCTTCTTCTTCTTCTTCTTGTCCCGTTTCTTCTTCTTCTTCTTCTTCTTCTTCTTCTTCTTCTTCTTCTTGTCTCGTTTCTTCTTCTTCTTCTTCTTGTCCCGTTTCTTCTTCTTCTTCTTCTTCTTGTCCCGTTTCTTCTTCTTCTTCTTCTTCTTGTCCCGTTTCTTCTTCTTCTTCTTCTTCTTCTTCTTCTTCTTCTTCTTGTCCCGTTTCTTCTTCTTCTTCCTTAATCTCAACCACTCACGACCACCCTGAGCCTTTACTACGTAAACATCCATCACACAAGTTTATTCCTCGTTCCAAAGATCACACTAAGCTTCCGTCTTATTCTACTACCGCGACCAGTCCTAATGCTCCCGTTTATTATGATTTTTATGATTCTATTGATTCTGATGTGACACATGCTATTCCCGGAGTCTCAAGTTGGCCATGAATATAATTTACATCATTGTGTTACTATTGAGCCTCTTGATAGGTTCGGTTTCCCACGTGCGGGCACTAGTATTGATGAACAAGGAAGCTTTGAGTATTTCCAAAGTGGTGTCGGAGGAGCTTGTTGCACTTACTGGCACTTGGGGTCTTGTTTGGTTACCATCTGATAGAGATGCAGAAAAAAAGGTTGAAAAACAATGGATTGTCTACAAGGAAAGGAAAAGCTGGAAAGGAATAAATGAAACATGGGAAGCCCGAATTAGGGGATTTAGATGGATTCTTGGGATCCTGGACATTTGAGAATGGAAAGCTATCAATTAGTTATCCTACCATATATTTATTTTCCTGTTATCTTATATAAATAATAATAATTTTATAAAAGGGAGTTAGGAAGTGAGGATGGGACATCGGGTAGAAATAATCTTAATAGCTAGGCTATTGGGCAAGTTATCTTGCTGGGAAGTTTTATACTTCTGTCATTGTTCTCCTCTTTTCATTTATAATAAATTTGTGTTTCCATTCCCCTTTTTAATTATCTGATCCTTTACTCTTATCAATTGGTCCGACCTGCCACTACGAATGACACGCATGGACTCTCGAGTCGAAGCCACGGAGAAGGGTCAGGAAGTGCACGAGCAACGCCACAATAAAGTCGAGGAGGCCATCTCTAAACTTACGGAGTTGGTCAACCAATTTTTGTCAGTCAAGCATAACAGCGAAGGGAGCGACACCTCCCAAGTCGATCACATCAACATCCCTAAACCACGCACCCCACAGGATGTCCACCTCGGTACCAAACGAACTGAGATCCCATATTTTGATGGAACTGACCCACTTGGCTGGTTGTCTAGGGTTGAACAATATTTTACCATCCACAGCACGCGAGACGAGTTACGAGTTCCCACTGCTTTTATTAGCATGGAAGGGCCTGCCCTTCATTGGATGAGATGGCTACAACAACAACATCCCATGCTGACATGGTCGCAACTCAAATCTGAACTAATGGAGCAATTTGGTGGCGATTTGTCTGCCCCACCAATTGAGTTGTTAGCTGCTCTCCGTCAAGTTGGTACGATGGATAAATATTGCAATGAGTTTCATGTTCGGGCTGCCCATATCTCTGGGATACCCTCTCATATCCAGTTAGGGTTGTTTCTGAATGGGCTCAAGGAAGAGATCCGTGTTCGTTTTCGCCCAAACGATGCTACTGATTTACGGACAGCTAAGCGAGTTGCTCGCTCCATTGCGCGCGAACTCGATTTCGTGCACCATGACAAACATGCTATTCAAGAAGAGATGGAGTACGGGTTTCGGTCTGGGTTGGACTCCAAGCCCAACGCCTGCCAATGCAACCTTGTCGAGTCATCATCAGACAAATCTTGCCACTCCAACGCCCAGCAATTTCCATAAAACCACGAAGGGGAACAATCTTATGCCACCTTCCCCAGGTACCGGTATATCCTTCCAGCAAGATTCGGCTCCTTTCTCTCACAAGGGTATTCGGCGTTACTCTAACCAGGAATACTAGGACCTGCGTGCGAAAGGACTTTGTTTCCGATGCAAACAACCCTACAGCCCGATGCATGTTTGTCCAAATAAATCATTACAGGCTTTAATCGCAGCGGAGGATGAGGACATTTACACCGACGACCCACCTGGGGTATATACCATGGATGATGCCTCGTTACACATTTTGGACCTGCCCCTCTCTGCCATTGGAGGTATCGGCCGTCCCCAAACAATGAAATTTCGTGGCTGTGTGGAGCACAATGAGGTGGTTATTATGATCGACAGCGGAGCAAGCCATAATTTTATCTCATCCAACTTAGCAGTCAAGCTCAAACAACCTTTGGAGGCCACAACCCATTTTGGTGTTCGCTTGGGCGACGGACGCAAGGCTGAATCTTCGGGTAAAT